GGTTGACTGGTACTCATTCACATTGGCAAAGGCAATCTGCTCTACTGGGCCCATCATTAAATGTTAACATCATCTGGAACCAGTCTCACAGACACACCCAGATATAATGGTTACCCAAATATCTGGCTACCCCATGCTTCCATTAAATTGATACACATCACAAATGTCAAATGGCCCATCAAACTTTAATTTAAATAATTAATTTCCAATTTGTTTTGAACTACTTTCCTTTTTTAAGATTGTCATTATCTAGTTTCTTGAAAACAAAACTAAAAGTATTTCCTTAAACTTGATTGTTTTTAAGATACTATTTCATAGCAAATACTGTTTCTTCTCTCTCTCTTTTTACAGACAAATTTTGTCTTTATTTATGAGATAATGTCATGGTTCAGATGCAATACAAGGCTTTTTACAGAATTTTTTTTCTTCCTGAGATAAGACTATAAAACTCCTCATAAACCATTCCACTGTTAAAAGCAAGACTTGGCAGACCCTGCAAGGGTTTCAGAACCATTGGATACCTTCAACTTCATGGTCATTGACTTTCACATGATATCTTTCACCCGGGTTTTAATCTCAAGAGAAAAATGTAGATGACTAACTTTTCCATTTATACAAATGTAAAAAGATAAATTTGTCCCTTTCTACTGTTATTGGTTTGATTTAGAGGTTTGTGAATCTCATGGATAGGTTCTGTTAGGGTAAAAAGGGATGTGAATCATTTTGAATATAAAATAAAAGAAAGAAGGAAGGGAGAGAGAAGGAGAAAAGAAGGAAGGAAGGAAGAAAGGAAGGAAGGAAGGTTCATTTTTCTCTTATTTTGAAGCTCTAACATGTTGCCATATTTATAAGGAAGTGTTCCTCATTAAACAAATAAAACCAACTGACTACAATGAATGAGAGTTCTGAAAATGTTCCCAAAGACAGAAATGGAACTTTTCTACTGTGGACTCTGTAGTATTACAGAGTTATCTGGAGGAAAGTACACCAACTATAATTTTTTTTTACATTAATAAACCACAAAAAATGTTGCAAACTGAAAATACTTGCAAACAAAATGAAACCAGTATTTGCAGTAATTAAGAGATGAGGAGTTAACTTGAGGAGGGAGGAACCTCACTATGTGATTAGATGACAACACTATCATAGTGACTTCACAAAAACAAAACGTGTTAAGCAGCCCATGCTCCACTCTCTAGTATCCGACACATCTATGCTTTCAGCTGTACAATTTAGATGGAAATAAGAGATGCAAATGCTTTAGCTTTACCCATGCTGTATTTTTATTCTGTTTCAATTACAATTAATTGTTCATCATTGGAAAACACGGTAATGATATTCAGAAACTCTTAAGCTTTTATAAATGAACTCTGAGATACGGTTAATTTTTATGTTAGTTGATAAACTCTAGAAATCTAAGCACAAAAATAAGCTCAACTATATATAACATTCTGTCTGATATTTAAGATTTTGGCATATTTTTGTGTAACATCCTAAGAAATTGCAAAACTTTGCCCCAGTTTAGTTCTTCTTGGATTGGTTCTGCAACTACCACAAAACAAACTCTGGATAATAAAGATTCAGAACATTGCAAAAGTAGTATGTCATCTTTGAAGAACTTCCTGGGGTGAACAGCTGTCTGAATTTCTAATGATGTTCAGATACACTTGGGATAGAATTAGTTTTCCTATAGATTATGTTTAGAATCTCTTATTTTATAGCAAACTCCAATAGTCTCAGAGAACTACAAAGAGTAAATTGTAGATTGGCCCGCCTATTGAGTTCTGCAATATCACTTTGACGGTTTTTAAGAACCATTTCTACCAATGGAGTTGGAAAAATTTTATGGGAGTTAAATGACATTAGAAAAAACACAGTCAAAACAAAAAACCTTCTGGAACGTTTTTTCCATGCTAGTTTACAGTCTGTGATGTGTCGTACGTGCAACCTCAGCCAGTGGCCTGGGTGTTCCTGTCCGATCATGTTGGATGGAGTATGGTTCTTGTCTTAGAGGATTCAGCAGTACATAAAAGTCAGCTTGGCCCTAACCACACGAATACAATCTGAACTCAATTTTTAAGACACCACAGATTTTTTTTCTTAGGAAATGGACTGTTGGTGGGCAGGCTGTTTCTTTTATAAAAAAAAATTATTTTCCAACAGAGCATTTTCACAGGCTAAACCTGAAAATTCCAGTACTTTCCATGCTTAAGAACACTTAAATATTTCCAAGGAATACTCTCAAAACTAAACATCAGTGATTTTTTGTTTGTTTTTGTGGTTTAAACACCTATATAAAGTTCTACTTAAAATGATTTCAAGGACCAGTTTTCCTTATTGGATGTATCAGTGAGTTCCAAATCTTGCAAAGTCCCTTGCTTTCACTTAAGAAAAAGGAACCAATCTTAGCTAACTTGTGTCCACTGTCAGTTGTATACCTCTCATCTGCAAATCCACCTTCACTATCCTGCTTGTGATAGAGGAGCTGAAGCCTTAAGCATTTTTCTTTCCTCAGATGACATAATGAGTGTTGTCAGCAGATGGCTCTAGAGAGCTCTGCATGAAAAAACAGTGTTGTTTAGTGTGCTTTTCTCTGCCTGCTCCTGTCCTGCACAAATATCCAGCAGTACATGGGACACCCAGGGGTGCTCCTTCCCACCAGTGAGTTCTGCTGCTCAGCACCTCCCCCACTGGGCAACTTTCTCTGGCACTTTCGAGGGCAGCTTCACAGCAAACTCCATAGAGCGACATTTCCCTAAGGTCAGTTTTCCAAGTCTTCAGAAGTGTCTCCCTGGCACTTTTGGCTGGCAGTATGCAGGGGACTGGATGAAAGAAGGGGAAGAGAGTAGTCAAAGAACATACATGCATGACCCATGGACCCAGAAAACAGTGTGGGAAAGGCCAAGGGAAGGGGGCTAGGGGCTGGGGAGCAGGGGGAAAAAAGAAAGGAAAGTGGGGAGCATTTGTTATGGTGTCAACAATTTAAAAAAATCATTTTTTTTATTTTCTTAAGATTTTATTTATGTATTTTTAGAAAGAGAGAAAGGGAAGGAGAAAAAGAGGGAGAGAAACATTGATGTGAGAGAGAAACATTGATGGTTGCCTCTCACGTGTGACACCCAGGCATGTGCCCTGATCAGAATCGAACCTGTGACCACTCACTTTGTGGGATGATGCTCAACCAACTGAGCAACACCTGTCAGGGCTTGGAATCAAAACCTTGGAATATTTATCACCTTAACTGAAAGAACTTCAAATGTGTTTCAATGAAAACGTGATTGTAGAATGACAGTTGGAACAAACAATTGTTTGATAAGAAATATCAAACAATTATAAGGATTAATGAGCTGATTTGTAAATCATCTTGGCTATATAAGTTACTATTACATGTTAATAGTAACATGTAATTTTGAAAGTTAGAAAAAAATAGAACTAAACTACAGAGTAGCTATAGCATGTAAGTTGCCAATTATTAAATTTGAGGGTACACTATGAATTTAGATTCTACCTTAAGTACAGCAAAAATATGGCTGAGGATGTCAAACAAAATAAGTAAGTGAATAAATGAATAAACAAATAAAGTTATGAAATACATTGTCTCTTTCAACAAGCTATTCAAGTAATCAATGAAACAAAACAAACTAGCCACAGGAGCTGGTAGGCGGAGAAGGAATGCACTATTCTAGGCCGATTATTTGGCTGGACGTTCTGTATTTTGCCTATGGCTCTTGTTTATTCCTTAGCTGATCCTTTGTTCACAAGTATTCTCTACCCATGGAGCACTGGATGGTCATAATAACTTCATATAACTGTCTGCAGAAAGATCAGGATGTATACTCTGGAGAGAGGCAGGGAGGTTTGCTGTTCTAGTCTCTTAGATGGCAGGCTAGGTACTTTATGTTACCTAGGGGATGGGGTATATTTGATATGCTTTATATTCTATTGGTTCAAATTAACATGAACCTTATCAGTGCCTTTAGACTCAGTAAAATATATGTAATATAAATGTGTGTATGGTATTTTCTTTCAATAAACTTACAGTCCACTTGAAAAGGCAAGCATACCAATTAATTAAATTTGGTTAAGAGTTATAATTAGGGTATGACTATAAATCCCAATTTGTTTAGTTTATATACATTATTAATATTGTTTGTTTTACTTTTAACTGTGAATGATAAATTATATTACTAAGTTGTTTTGCTTATGGAACTCAAGGACAACTGCAACATAGATGAATAAAAATAAACATTTTAATAATTAAGTTTATAATAGGCTTTGAAATGAATACTTATGCTATCAAGAGGTCCAAAATACTGTCCTGTACTTTTATTAGACCCATGGTAGGCTTGAAGTCTATCACTAAAATTACTTCCCCTGAGTACTGACCCCTTAGCGATCAGCTTGAGAATTGTGGGTTTGTGGTGTTGTGACTGCTCATTTACTTTACAGGTCCTGAGGCGTTACACAGAAATCTCTCGTCCTTGCATGTTTAAAGAACCTGCAGTTACCCAACTTGATGGACAGGTTCTGGCAGGCTCTCAGGTTGCAGCTGGTACAAGTCCAATATTTTCACTTGCTATTCCTGCCGAACTAGGCTGGATTCCTGATGTAGATTAATTTTAAAGATTCACCAAATAACTATATGAACAAAGTCTATGCAAGTCTTTAAAAAACAGAGTGCGTTCTGGGATACTTGTCCTTAGCCTTGGGATGCTTCCATCTATTATAAAGTTTCAGCTTCATGAATGATGGAAGTTAGACAAGACCCCACATCCCCCTATTACCTGACCCAAAACTCCACCACCACAAGGAGGGTTTATTAACATGGTTAGTAATCTATGCTAATTGCATTAGCCTGGATTTTAACTAAGTATAAACTTCTTTAAACTTCTTATGAAACATTGTGACCAACCAGTCAAAAATTCATGAGTTATTCATAGCTCTCATTTAAGCTCTGATTTAGGTCACAGCAATAGACTTGCTTTGAGCACCCTGTGAAACCAAGATAATGGTATTGCAGGGTGAGGAAATACTGTGGGAGCTTTTAATTGCATCCTAGTGAGAGAGGCATGGACTGACAACGTATGTGTGTCTCCCAATCAGTGTAAGTGCAAGTTTCTACTGATATTGTAATATTTGGCTTGATAAGTAGTTTGGGGTTATTAAGAAATTCATATTACCTGAAAAGGTTCTCAGTCTACCCTTGTTCTGCTACTTATTACTCAGTATTAATGGAGATAGTTTAATCTTAGCACTGTGACAACACTGGAAAAAGGAATATGACAGGGTTCAAAGCTCTCTGTCTGGGCCTGATTTGTGTTCTCTTTGCCATTCATATTCATGTACCCATACCAAGCAACATTGAAGAACGCTGGAAAGTAATGGCCTTGGATGCAGTTGCTAGAATGTGTACATTTATGGTAAGATTATCATTTTTTCTCCTGAATATTGGTGTGCCTTGTTAACTGAAAACCAGTACTTTTGAATTTTCTATTAATTATCTTTTAAAATAAATACTGCTTGTGTGTTTGAATAAGTCATCTACATGAAGTTAAGTAAATTAAAATTGTTGCATCTGTACCAAACAGAGTGAGACAGAATTTTTGTTTCCAGAGTTTATGTCTAAATATAAAGACTCCATATGTTGTGATAGGCATAAAATAAATGGTATTGTTGAAGTGAAAATTTTTAAGTTTATTTGATAACTTGACTTACATTTGAGTTTTCAGGGACAACCTAGTCCTATAAGTACCTCGTAGTACAGAGATAAATGTGATTGATGTTTATACCTGTTTGATGTTTATACCTCTTAGTATTTCAGTGCCTTCTATTGTCCATCTTCAATTCTAAATTACTGCGTTTCAGAGATTGTCTGACTTGAAATATGCATGGTAGGTTGTGAGTTCTAGCAAAAATAGCTCCTTGGTAAGAGGGAAATATAGTAATAAACATTTTTGAGGTTTTACAATGTATAGACTTGTTATAATGTATACCTCTGCTCATCCCCACTATCTTTCAATTATTTTTATAGTTTATAGAGGAGGAAAGGGAGGTTCAGAAGAGTTTGTGCAGCTAGAAATATGACAACTCTAGAATTTGAACTCAGGACTGTCTTATTTCAAAACCCACACTCTCGCTGCAAAACCAAGAGGCTCTCGAAAGGTCCTCTGATGATAGTTACGTTAGGAGGCTGAAAGGAGAAGGCGACAAGAGCAGCAGATGATTAGAGAACAGGGAGCACTCCCTGGTATAAGAGGGAGAGGCTTTCCCATGGAGCTTTATAGAGTGGACAACAATTCTCTGAAATGCCAGCCAGTTCCTGTCTGTGTCTGCTAAAGCCTGATTTTTTTCTCTCATATCACGTCCAGAGGCTCACTTGCACCATAACTGTCTTTTCCCAATGCTCTCCTTCCTTCACTTCACATAAAGTGAAAGAAAGTGTGGGATAGCAAGTGCCAGTTCCACGGAGGAACTGCTGTTATCTTACTTGGCTATTTCATGTGTATTTAAACCTCAGAGTGACTGATAGTGATATCATCATTTAAATTACAACATTAACAGCACTGCCTACTCTAAAGTGCTACTTTTACTTTCTCAGCTACAAACTATTCTTACCCATTTATAATAAAATAATGTTTTATGTAAAAAGCATTTTATATTTTTGATATCATAATGTATTCCCCTTTATTTTTTAAAAAATTAAGGAAAGCACATATATAATTACTTTAAAGATTATTCTAGTAAAATTAACAGTCTAGCTGTTGTAGGACAATTGTATTGTTGTTAATACTAAATTTTGTAACTCAATGTTGTACCAGTAAGAAAAATTATATTTTTAACATATGATATGGAAGTAAAAAATTAAGTTCTTGGTAAAATGGCCTTAAAAATAAACACATTTCTATTTACTAATATGTTAAATTGGAAGACATAATTTGGTAGAAACATGCCCAATCCTAAAAACTTTCCTTAATTCTTCATGTAATTTTTTACTGTTAAAAGAAAATACTAATAATAAATACTTTGCAGCATTGCTCTGAGAATTGGAGATCTCATATGCTAGAAGAGCACAAAATAATCTTTAAAATGGTAGGTTTTGTTATTGTTCCATAGATACTTAAGTATTCATTAAAACCCAGGAAATTTCTTAGAAAATAAAAACAAGACATTTTGCCAAAAAACTAATTTTTAAAAGCCAGAACACGAAATGAAAATTAACTTAATTTAACCATTTACCAAAAACTTGCTTTAAGGGACTTTTATGTGACTTTATTCAAAAATTCATCTTAGTGAGGAATACTTAAAAAACAGCAAGACAAGATGTGTTGGGCCAGGGACTCTTCTCCAGCGAATTGAAAGTCCTAATTCATTTAAAACCTTCTAAAATTCACTGAGGAGTTTCATTATTGTTGTTATTATTACAGTTTTGCAGATCAAAGATATTGAAGTATACAGAGTAATTTGCTTAGGTCATAGCCATAGTAAGAGGTTGGTCTAGAAAAATGGATTCCAATTTGGCTTCAGTATTTACGGACTGTAATTTATAGTTTCTGTATGCTTCTTCATCATTAAAGTACAGAGCTTAGATGTTCTCTAAGATCCCATAATACCTTAAACTCTTTGGAATAATTGTAGTGGCAAAGGCTGTTTAATGTACTATTGACAATGTACTTTTTAAGGTTTTTCATTTGAATAAATTGTCAAGAGATAGGTCACAAGGATCCAGGAGAAGCTGGTCAGAAATACCAAGGAGAGATTTTCTCCCAGTGATATCAAATATGGGATTTGCGAATTGGGAGAGTAGATGGGCAGTAAACAGGAATCTATTTGTAATTGAAAACCAGGACATTTGAATCATTTGTAGAGTAGTCATAAAATGACACTTAAAATTCTGGATCAAATAAAATGAAAAATAATAAAAAAGCAAAGATGACAGTCAAAAGAGAAAGAAAAGAGACAGAGAGAGAAAGAGAGAGAGGGAGAAAGAAGAAAGATGTTATAAGACCTCAAAATTTTTCAGATGAGAATTTACAATTAAGTAATAATTATGACAGGCATAAAATAAACTGTCAGTAAATTGCAACTTTTGAATGAGATAGTTATTTATGAAAAATATAATTTTTGAGATTTTCAAAGGCAATCATGTTATGCAATAAGAGCTATGGAGCATTGTTTGGAAAGAATTTTATAAGCATTCGATTTCTGTTTATTTTGCTTATGTTTTCATTTTCCTTTTATATGCATTTGATATTATTTAAAGGTGAAAGTGTTTATTTTTGTTCTTATAGGGTATATGTTTTGAAAATATAGGTATTATGACATATGAAGAGTTTATTTCTATGATATTCAGGCTGGATTATATCCAACCACTCTCAGATGAACACATCACAGTGACGGATACGGTGTTTGCTGATGTTCCAGTACGTTTGTATTTGCCAAAGAGAAAGTCAGAAACCCCAAGACGAGCTGTAATCTATATTCATGGTGGTGCTTACTGTTTTGGAAGTTTCAGTAAGTTGATCATATAGGTAAAAAGTATAACTGTCTATATGTTTTTGCTATAAGAACTATCTTATATAAATATACATACTTAAGTGTACATATATGTATACATACTTATATATGTACTCATATACTATATGTAAGTATAGCTTTAAATTTTAAGTATCTAATAGAGACACAGACATGCCTAACAAAATACATCATGGAGATTGTCATCTCCATTTTTGTTTTGTTTTGCTTTTTGGTAAGCATTTTCTTCTCAGCTTTTTTTTTAATTGAAAGCATTTATCTCAAATGAGTAGGACATGAACAAGTCAATTAGTAAATTTTTTATCTTTGGGATCAAATTATATTCAGGAGCAAAAGCATGGAAGTGGTGCAGATGTGTTAAACAGTAAATCAAAAGCAAATGTTGTTGGTTGCTACAAGAATAGTTTGTGGTTACTGTTAATAATAATGCCAACAGTCGAAAAGCCTAAATAGGCTTTTTTTTGGCTCAATTATGAAAGAAACACACAAAATAGAACTATGTAATAATAAACTCTTCTCATGAAGTCCAGTGTCCCTACTTATATCTGGTGACGATTCTATGAGGCAAATATTAAAGATTCAAAACAAATACATGAACAAATTTACCTTTTTGAAAACTTTGGAAAAATCATAGAATGGTGGTAGTATATTAGGGGGGCTGTGTTCTATTTAATTGAAATAATAACATTAAACAAATGAATAGAATTGAGGACAAATAAATTGCTCATAAATGAATTCTTCACCTTTTGTCTTTCTCTCAGCCTCACTTGATTCTAAGTAGTTTGAGAATCTTAACATATAAGCAATATATTAAGCAACACTTAACTAAATATTAGCAATGAGGATTAGTCAAAGAGAAAATAAGCATGAAAAATTAATGAAGCATAAAGGCTTTGGTTAATATGCAAAATGCTAAAATAGTTAAGCTGCAATTTTGGCTTTCTAGTTTTCTCCTCTTCAGGTTTTTGACAGTTAACATACTGAGGGGGGATCCATAATCAATTTCAAACTTTATAGCGACTTGTTAAAATAAAATAATTTAGATGAGTCAAATAGAGGATAAAGACTTTATTCAGTTGAGCTTCAGGAAGCAGTTAAAGACCACATGGCTTCTCAGTGTACGGATTTTTTTTTTTTTAATAGGCTGGGAAAAGTCAAATATGTGCCCTTGTTTTAGCTCAGGCAGCGTCATTCAATTCTAACGAAAACCAGTGATCGAGGATCAGGCATGTATGTGCTCATGTCCCATGCTTGGTTTGCTTGGTAGAATCATGAAAACCAACATAGTGTATTGCTTTTGCAAGCCTTATGTTTTGTCAACTACTCAATGTTTACAGGGTAGGGAAGATGGTAGCAGTACAGGAAAAATAAGGAGGGAAATGTAGAAGGCCAGAGGAAGCAGGGCCCCTCTCTCATGTTTTATTCCTTTCACAGTCCACAAAGTGGAAACCAAACACAATATAAAACTAAACAATTTCCAAAATGAAATGAGCAATTCAGTTTTTTCATCCTAAGAAAAGACTTTCTATTATATGAAGAACATATATTGATTTTTATGATTCTCCTTATAAATATATGCCGGGGGCATGCATAACTATAGGAATATAAGTAAAAGCAATTTTAGGAGCAGGTAATAGGATGAAATAAAAGGTAAGGAATCTGTTGGGGTGTGATTCAGAGGTGACTTTTATCATAGCCAGTGAAGCAGGTGTTCTGTATTTCCTTTGGGAAATACTAGAAAAATTGTTTTCTTAAAGATTTTGAACAAGCCCCAAAAAGTGAATTCAAAAATACTGTGACAAGGAAGGGGACAACGGTCATTTTCTACTGCTAGTAAGATATAAAACCTGAAGACAATGGTACTCCAACTTTAGTGCCTCAGAATCAGCTAGAAAGCTTGTTAAAAGATTGTTGGGCCTCACCTGCAGAATTTTTTATTAAGTAAGTAAGTCAGTGGGGGCCCTGAGAGTTTGCTTTTCAAGTTGATTTCTAGTTTATGTCGATGCTACTGATCTAGACACCACACTACGCTGGGAACCACTGCCACCTGTTGTCCTGCTGTGGCTCAGACATCCTGTCCCAGGTAGCTCATCAATTCTGTTTCTCTTCTTGTCAATGACTCTTCTGAGTCTGTGTCACTCCGGGCCTCTACCTATGGTGTTACCATAGGTAGTTAACTAGTTATTAATAAGCCTCCAAAGGGAATTAGACTTTGAGTTTAACAAACTGGGAAGCATGCGACTGTTTGCTTAACCATGAAGCTATAGTTCACATGCAGGGGATCATAGCATTGCTCCACGAAGATTAACGCTCCTTGTTGCGTGGGTCACTGGCCAGCAGTGACCACGGAACGCTGTGGATGGCTCGACGGAAAACACCTGAGAAAAAAAACACACATGCACAGAGACAGACTAGTTTCTGTGGGGAAGTAGGGACGAAATGGCCACCCCCCCTAGTGGGGAGCGCACCGATTTACAGTCCATACCTGCTTTTATTGGGCTCATTTTGCATAATAATTCAGGTAAAGTACAGTACTCATTAGGGGGAAGTAAGGAATGATAGAAAACAAGGAACTCTGCTGGTCTATTTTGAGTCGGGGTAAAAGAGCTGTAAGACTTCAAACTAACTTCCTCCTTGGACCCTTCTCATTCAACTGAGAGCATTCTAAACAAAGAAGGTTTCACAGTAATTTACATATTCTTTCTTAGGCCTGATCACCCGGGGAATCCGCCCTTTTCAGCACAGAGCTGCACCACCCTGTCATTGTTTCAGGCTTAGGTGGAGCAAGGGAACTAAGGCAACCAAGAGATAAGGAGTTTTTCTCCCAGCCAATGAAATCTCATGCTATGTCAAAGCCGAGGAGCGAGGGTCCATCACCACCTTTTGCTGCAGCCCCCCAAGTCCTTCTTTTGGGGGGCCTCCCAAAGTGATCGTGCCTGTCTTAGGTCCTTCCCTCCTTGGGGAATCTTACCCGTCTTTGGCTAACCGACCAAGCTTTTGGGGGTTCAGTCATGAATAAAGCAGCAGAAGCAGCATTCCTGCCAGGAAGATAAGCTTTTATCTCCTTGCTGGCCTACGGTTCCAAGGGCGTTCCCTTAGCCTTAGCTAGGCGGGGGTTTCAGCTTCTGATACCAGTCAGGGCAGTTCCCAAGAGCTCCTCCCTTCTCCCTTCCAGTACAGGACTGTTGGAGGGCGCAGGAGGAGGCTCTTGACCATAGAAGCCTGTCAGTATAATTAGGGACTTCTACCAAAAAGCTCACAAAAGCTTAGGAAGTGATTAGCTATTTTTAAAAGGCACTTAGTCCATCCCAAATCCAAGCTAATACAATCCCAGGGGAACGAAAATACACTCTCTCTCCGCATCTGTGACCCACACTTGCCCTGCACATTGTGCACCTTCTCGCCCAGGATCACAAGACCATGAGGGTCTAGCAGCTACCAGGGCCAGCAGTAGACTATGTGGGGTCCAAAGGACTAAGCTTTAATATGAGGCAGAAACTCTGAACATTGGCTTTTGTTTTGGCCTTGCTGAGGACACAGTTGGACTTTTTCCATGGTGAGACGGAAACAGATGGGAAATTGGAAACCCAAGGGGCCGCTTCTATTTCCACCTGAATAAACTTTAAACATCACAATCTCCCATGTGTGGGTCCCTGGAATGCTTTTTTCATGATCCTGTGGAAGAGCTTGATTTCACTGGCAATATCAGCTCCTCCAGTTAGCAAGAGATCAAACTTACTGCAATTTCAGATGAAATAGAGGACATGAGGGAGTGTATATCCTCAAACTTTTGAACTCTTCATCACTAGCTCAATTACCCTTTTCTGTAAATTTGTTATCAACCAGACCCAATTTTTAGCTTACCTCTTTCTAATACTCTCAGAAGAGGGTTAACCCCTTTCACGAAATTAGTCTTTCTACCTTTGCTTTCTATCACAGGGCTCTTACCCTATTATTTGGCATTAGTATATCTATATCAATCCTCAGTCTTAAGGTTTTTGTTTGTTTATTTTTAATTTGTAAATGACTTCTCCTAAGTATTTTATGGTCATTTTTACCTTTAAAAAATGTCCCTATTTGACCGTGAATTCCTCTTTCGAGTCCTTTATCATTTTCCTTTCCTTTTCAGATTAATTTCTATGCACTCTAAGCTCTTGTTCTTCCTTATGTCCTTGTTTTTCCACCTTTAATTAGTTCCTCAAGCTCTATAATTCACTGCACTTGATGATGACCACTCTTTTCTTCTTTTTGATATTCACTGATCCTCCTTTTGTTTTCTCTGATAAAATATCTCCTGCATTTTCTCTGGCATTCATTGTTTTCTCAATCTCTCTTTTCCATCTCTCATTTCAAAAACAAACAAACAAAATGGCTGGCTGTCTATGTTTACTCCTTGTGTGTATTTTTGTCCTCCAGAATTTAAACCCTACCTTCCAGTTCCAACTCTACACACTCTCTTTCCTAATTTCTTATTTTCTCCAAATACCCACATGCTACTGACAACCAGCCTGGATCTGCTAAACAGCAATTATTGTCAATTCTTTACAGTTCCTTAGTGCTCACATTAAATTACAACATCCCATACATACTCTTTTTGAATTATTTGACCTCCTTGACACAAGTTAGTACTTCATGATCTTTTGCAGATGTTCCTTTCTGATATCTCTGCCTTTCTCCTACTCAACTTTGTTTCATCTTCTACATTTAGTATCTGGAACTCTCTAACATGCAAATCTGATTATATGATTTCTTTGCTTCAATTTTCAGGGACTTTCATCTTTGAATGAAGTAAATCTAAACCCTTTAGCATAGTGCTCAGTTTCCCATGTTCTTATGTTCTTTAACGTTCTTGTCCCTGCCAATGCAATGCTTCCCTTCATAGTTTTATTTCTACTATACTGAGCTGCTTTTAGTTCCCCAAACACTCCATGCATTCTCATTTCTCTCCATGACTATGTGTTCCTAGAATGTCTTTCAGATCTTACCTCTAGAAAACTCTATCTAGTCTTTCCGTATTTAGGTAAGATACATTTTCACATTTCACCTTACCTAAATTGTGAGCACGTGTGTGTGTGCATACATGTGAATGTGTGTATGCATTTGTGTGTGTGTGCAGGCTCCCCTGGTTCTAAAAGATTTTAGCAATCTTCCTGTGTGTCTTCCTGTGCAGCTTGTATAGGCTTGCTAGGGACAATTCTTGTTGTTTCATAATTGTGTTACATGCTTGTTTTAGCATCCCCCTGTAGGTGGCATCATCTCTTAGCATCTAACAAAGCACTCCCCATACAGTAAATATTCAACAAATGTCTTCTGGGAACAAAAAATTGAATGATTGAATGGACTTCTGTTATTATCCAAAATTTTTCCCAGTGCTTTTCTCTAATGTCTTTTTCATCCCCTTAACGTTTTCAGCAAATTAGATTTTATCTATAATCCAATCTATATAGGGCATTAAGATGGTCAAAATAGCCTGCTTCCTTTTAAGATATATTAAATGCCAAGTTAACTTCATTTGACTCAAAAAGAGAAAAATTAATTCTGCAAAAGTTTTGATAAGGTCTGTGAAATGTCCAAGTGTTCACATTCATATTATCTGGGACTCCCTAAGAGAAGAGAAATGGCCACAGACGGGAAGACATCACTTTGGAATTTGAAATTTGAAAATAACAATTTGAAAAATATTTAGAAGTATTCCTCATTATTAGGTCAATTTCCCTTTCATTTTCAAGGGTAGTAATTGTGATCAATAATTTCTAAAAATGTGAGAATTGTTATTATTCAAGAAATAACATTCCAACATCCTTCTCAGCTAAATTCCAGTTGTCTAGTTTTTGTATGTCTTTGTTTTATATGTGCATATTAGTTGTTTTGGGGTCTCCCATAATTCATATAGGCAAACTATAAATGACTTAGATACATTTCATTTTTTGAAAAATCAGGGCAGACACACAACAATTTTCTGGTACTTACAAATGTTGATTTCTCTTTTTTCCCTTACATTTTCTTTTTTTTTAATTAAAATCTGCCAAAGTTGCTTTAGGAATTAAGAAATACTTTTTAAATTACTCTACTAGAATTTTTACATACTTTTGTGCTTGGTTTTCAACATTTATCCTCATGTGTTCTTGTTTCTAACTGGTCCTAAAATTGCTATAAATTCAAAGTGAACATAGAGAAGAGGAAAATATGATCTGACAACTTATATCAGCAAATATTGTGAGCGTTTGGACAGTTTAAGATACAGAATGGAAAACAAAAATTAAATTGACTTATTGTAAGGACAAGAAAGCATTGGGAGATAAAAATAAAAATACGTTTGAAATACATCATTGAGTGACTTTAAATGCAAGTGTCTGAAGGTCCTTCTCTCTTGTACATTTTGGTCTTCATCTACACATTGCCTTTTCTCCATACTTATCACTTCCATCTTTAATGAAAACATTATTTTTCTTCCTAAAATGCTAGGTGATTCGCTTTTCTGATTTCAAGGTTGTTACATACCCAGTATTTAACTTGAAATTTTGATAATGTGCAGCAGACACTTTTAAAAAGTTTGGAATTTAATTACAACTCTAGAATTCTCTGAATTTCTAGAATCTTGTGATAAATAAAGTAATAGCAGATGTCACAGATTTGCCAAAGTGTTATGGTCAGGGCACTGGTAAATTGGGTTTGCGGGTACATGGAGATAGATGTGGGGGGTGTGTGTGTGTGTGTTCATGGGAGAGGAGATGGCCAAGCATGCCAAAACCAGTATGTACATCTAAGTCCACACACTGACTCGCCAGAGGAGCTCTCAAAATCTAGTTGCTTTTCCTTAGATCTGGTCTTAAAAGCCAAGGTTGTTGGGCCACTTCATTATGTGACGTATTTGGAGAAAATGAAGGTTTTAAGGAAACATGGTATTGAATGTTATAGTTTTAGACAGTATATACATCCATTATGTTGTTGTTTATCTGAGTTCTAAGTTATACACAGAATTCAAGTAAATAAAAGTCAAAACATAACCACTGTTTTTAGTGAAGCTTGGAGAATGTGTGTTTAGGTGTTGATGAGTCAGAGAGATTAACCCACCCGCAGTGACCCGCCCTGCTGAGCAATCCACACACCTCCCGCCTCTGAAATTTGCTTCCTGGAGGAGCAGAGCACCAATCCACGGCAGGTTCTTAGGACGATCATTGTGTGTAAACAGCAAATAACAAGAGAAAAGTAGAATGGGTTGCGTGTGCTTCAACTTCCCAAAGCACCAGCGGATGACTGGAGGGAGTGACTGAAGACGCACTCCTGTAGAAGGCCTCCTGTTGATTCAGGTCCCTCAGCATAAAAATGGGGCAGGAAAAGAGGTTGCTTGTAAGACTCAAATCACATTCCCCACCCCCACCCCCCAGTTTATAGCTATAACTTTTCTGTTGCTTTTTCATTACAGGGAGTACTTTAACACTGATTTCTTTATTTCAGAGCAGACGGGTTTTGACTCCCTCAACAGATGGACAGCCAACAAACTCGATGCCGTTGTTGTAGCAGTGGAGTAAGAGAATGATTTTCTTTGGCTACTGTGATTTTTGCTTTTAGAAAGTAGAGGTTTGATTACAAAATCAAGTCTGCTATGCCTCAAATATAATGTTTTTAAGCTAATGTATTTTATTTGTCACCATTATAATGTTAAGCAGCCTCAAAGGATTATCTCACCAACATTTAATATTAAGTGCAGATATTTCAAATTTTTACTTTTTGAAGAACCAAAAAAAAGTTAGCTCTGAGAAGTGTTCTGTAGAGGTGTTCTCTTGTTTTTACTTGTCCACATGTATGAGGAAATATCTATTTGTATCTATTAAAAGAATTTGGTGATGCTGTACCTTCTAAATGTGTTTACAAGAAACTAGCAAGGTTTCTAGCATATTTAAATGTCATTTTTATTTCAAAGTTTTTATCTAGATTCAACTCCTGGGCATTATCCATGATGAGTTAAGTGCATTATGGTGTTTAGAACTTTTATCTATTGAATAAAAAGACCTTGAAAAAATTCAGATCTTCTGCCTTTAAACATTGATGGTGCTTTACGAATATTTTTTGAAGTTTAGATCGCCAATTACATTGAGAATATGATGTAAGCTATAGAGTATCATCAATCCAAAATGGGCTAAAATTTATGGTTGCAATATCAGGCAGTTCATAACACTCCCCTTACCCCTCACATGCAATGCCATCCATGTACCTGAGATATGATGTTGCAAACTTTATGTAAGTTTTCATTTTTTCATATATTAAATAACTCAGGCTTGATTTTTGGAAGATAAGCGATAAAACATGGTGTTAAATTGCATCTATTTGGTACTTAAAAGCTACATAGACAGATAGAATCATGATGGTACTTTATTAAACTGTTCAAATTTTTTTTCTTTTTTTCTTAAAGCTATAGACTAGCTCCCCAACACCGCTCTCCAGCTCAGTTTGAAGACAGCATCGCTGTAGTCAAGTTTTTATTTCAGGATGAAATTCTTACAAAATATGGAGTGGATCCCACCCGAATATGTATTTCAGGAGACAGTGCTGGAGGCAGGTTAGCCACAGCAGTGACGCAGCAGGTACGTTACACTATTCTTTTTTATATATATTTTTCAATAAGTATTTTATTTATTTTTGGTTTTTAACTGTCTTTTTTTATTGTTGTTCAAGCACAGTTGTCCCCATTTCACCCTCACCACTCCCCTCCTCTGCACCCATGCCCTCCTCCCACCCTCAATCCAACCCTCCTTGGCTTTGTCCATGGGTCCTGTATACATGTTCCTTGATGAACCTTCCCCTATATTCCCCTATTACCCCTCTCCCACATCTGCTCTGGCTACCGACAGTTTGTTCTTTATTTCAGTGTCTCTAGCTATATTTTGCCTGCTTATTTCTTTTGCTGATTAGGTTTCACTACTTGGAGTTTTGGAAACAGTCTTTGAAGAATAGGGGTTAGCTCTACCTTAAATGTTTTGTAAAATTCTCTTCTGAAACCGTCTGGTCCAGGGCTTTTGTGTGCTGGAAGTTTTTTTTATTACTGCTTTGATTTCAGCAGCTGTTATGTGTCTGTTCCGGCTTTCTGCTTCTTTTTGATTCAGTTTTGGAAGGTTATATTTTTCTAGAAATTTGTCCGTTTCACCCAGGTTTTCAAATTTCTTGGCATATAGTGCTTTGTAGTAATTTCTTACAATCCTTTTTATCTGTGTTATATATGTGCTAATCTCTTTTTTTTTTTCATTTCTGATTTCATTTATTTGGGTCTTTTCTCTTTTTTTCTTGATGAATCTGCTTAATGGCTTGTTGGTTTTGTTAATATTTTCAAAGAACCAGTTCTTGGCTGTATTGATCCTTTGGGTTGTTGTTTTAGTCTCTATGTCGTTTAATTCTGCTTTGATCTTGGTTATTTCCTTCCTTCTACTTGCTCTGGGATTTGTTTGTTGTTGTTCCTCCAGTTCTTATAGATGTAGGGTTAGGCTGTTTATTTGAGATGTTTCTATTTATTTCGGTAGGCCTGTATTGCTATGAATTCCCCTCTCAGGACTGACTTTGCTGTGTCCCGTAAGTTTTGCACTGTTGTGTATTCATTTTCATTTGTTTCCAGAAACTTTTTTATTTCTTCCTTGATCTTATTATTAACCCATTCATTGTTTAATATAGCATGCTATTCAATCTCCATGAATTTGAGTGTTTTTTAGTTTTTTCTTTGAGGCTGGTTTCTAATTTCAGGCCCTTGTGGTCTAAGAAAATGCTTGATATGATTTCAATTTTCTTGAATTTGTTGAGGTTTATTTTTTGTCCTATCATATATTCTATCTTTGAAAATGTTCCATAAGCATTTGAAAAGAATGTGTGTCTTGCTTCTTTGGGATGAAGGATTCTGTAAATATCAGTTAAGTCCATCTGATCAAGGGCATTGTTCAATGCCACAATATTCTCATTGATATTTTGTTCGGAAGACCTATCTGTTTTTGACTGTGGGGTGTTAAAATCCCCTAGTATAAGTATGTTCCTGTCTATAGCTTTCTTGAAGTCCTCCAAGATTTTCCTTATATATTTAGGTGCTGCTATGGTGGGTACATATATGTTTATAATGTTTATGTCTTTTGATAATTTCTTCCCTTTAGTATTATGAAGTCTTTGTGTGTCTCTTTTTTTGACCTTTTTTTTGAAGTCCATTTTGTCTGATATAAGTATTGCTAAACCAGCTTTTTTTTTCCTTCTCACTTTCTGGGAACATTTTTTCCAACCCTTCACTTTCAGTCTATGTAGGTCTTTTGTTCATTTTGTCCAATTAATGTTCATGGTATGTCATATTTTATTCAGACCTTTCAACTTCTTTAGCAATGTTTTCTTTTCAGTTTTGCAAATATTTTCTCTTTGATCTTGCAAATATTTTCTCATATTTATTCTGGAGTTACTTTGGAAAATTCCATTTAAAATAACATTTTACAAAGGTTTATTGATAGTATGTAGAAATGCATTTGATTTTTAAATTAGCCATTACAATCATATTCTTGAAAAATTTACTTAGCTATTTTGGAAGATCTTTTATCTTTCCTATGATTTTCTATGCAATCATATCTTCTGAAATCAGAGATAGTTTTAAATCTTCCTTTCCAATTTTTGTGTTTTTATTTTATTTTCTTAATAAGTGCACTAGGTAAGGCTTTCAATAATATATTGAATAGAACTGTCTTGCTCTGAATCTTAGGAGGAAATTGTTCAACATTTCACCAATAAATATTATGCTAACTGAATGTTTTTCATAGCTGGGTTTTGTCAGATTGAAGAATCCATTCTATTCCTAGTACACTAATAGTCTTTGCATAAATGAGTAGTGAATTTGCTAAATGTTTTTAATGCATCTATTCAGATGACCATGCGATTTCTCACTCTAATTTTTTAACGTGGTAAATTCTGTCAATTGACTTCCAGATACTAAATTATGTGTACATTCCAGGCATGAACTTCATTTGGTCATGATGAATAAAAATTTTATATATTGCTTGTTTCCATTTGCTAAACTTAAAGATGAAATGTTGTTTGAAGGATTGATTTCTATTTTTTAATGTCTTTTTCAGATATTAATATAAGGGTAATTCTGGCCTAATTAAATCGTTTGGGGAGAATTCTGATTCCTTTTTTTGAAATGTCTTTTCTCTTAAATATGAAAATAAATTAGTCATGCTGGGAAACTTAAAAGAAGATTGCACATATGCACACAGAGACATACACATACATATGCATACTTTTACATATACTATACACATGTAAACATACATACACATATATGCATATGTACTTATGCCTGTATATATATACTACCTGTAAAACCATATACACACCTCTATATAAGACCCTACTGCGGGACCAGTATGACAGTGGCAGCAAACTTCACCTTTTGCTCTGTACCCTGGGCCTCTTTTAACCTAAGATGTGCCACTTGAATGCCCTTCACGTTTAGAGGACTTTATAAATTTTCTTAGGGGAAAAAAGAAAGTTTGTAAACCATTAGACTTGTATCCTGAGGTCTCTTTCAACCTGAACTGATCTGCTATGTATTTGAAATAATATGTCACTTATTTGAAGGGTGTTGCTGGTGCGGGTGGGATGTATGATGGGGAAAGAAAACTGGAGACTGTCCCCACCTTCAGATTCTTATACTACTTACTATGCCAAATCATGTAGCATTCTGATCTTGATTCTTATCAAAAGCTGGTTTTGTGGGTGTGGACATTCTGAAAATTGTCCAACAATTATCCAATAATTATAATGATTGAGCAACCCTTGCCACACCTATAATTTCTACGTATATACAATGGAATGTTTCCCTGGCTGTATAAGTGAAGAAAGGTTTTGAAATGATGATTAGATATAGTCATAGAGAGTTATGAAGACATAAAGACCCACCTCATAGCTATTCAGCAGGGTAATCTTAAATATTAACACAGCCACCCGAAATAAATGCAATTCCAAGTAAAATTTGTAGGGCAGTACAAATTGTTCTCTTGACGTACATTAAAATTTGGCATTATTTTATTCTTTGAATTAATTATATCAGAATATAGTATACAGTTAAGATTCTGACCTATATGTTCAAAGAAATTGTTACAGCTGACAATACTGCATAAAAAACTTAGTGCACTTTAATAATTTAAAAAAGTGATTTCCTTCACTCTTTCTGATATATTTTTTTATGATCACACTTTAAGTTGCTTGTCCTTCATGGTATGCTAAACTTTCTACATCCATTATATTTTCATTAAAAAAAAGTTTTATAGCCCTGGCTGGCATAGCTCAGTGGGTTGAGCTCGGGCTGTGAACCGAAGCACTGAAGGTTCGATTCCTAGTCAGGGCACATGCCTGGGTTGCAGGCCACGGCCCCCAGCAACCGCACATTGATGTTTCTCTCTCTTTCTCCCTCCCTTCCCTCTCTAAAAAAATAAATAATAAATAAGATCTTTAAAAAAAAGTTTTATTTTCTGAACTAGGTTTATCCTTTTTTAAGATTTTACTTATTTACTTTTAGAGAGAGGGGAAGGGAGGGAGAAAGAGAGGGAAAGAAACATTAATGTGTGACTGCCTCTCACGTAGCCCCCACTGGAGACCTGGTCTGCAACCCAGGCATATGCCGTGACTGGAAATCAAACCAGTGACCCTTTGGTTTGCAGTCCACACTCAATCCACTGAGCTACACCAGCCAGGGCTAGGTTTATTCTTGACATGGGTTAACAGAACTAACTTTTACTTTATAATTATTCTAAATTTTTTTTCTAACTTCTCATGAACTTGTAGCTAATAATATGTTTGGAATTACACATTGAACATCTCAGTTTCAATAAGAATGCAGCCCTTGAACAATGATTAAAAAAAAAGACAAACTAAAAAAAAAATGCACCTCAAAGAGATTATTATTGTTGTATACTTTGAGAAGACTACAACAGAATATGTTAGATTTATTTTCCTGCATGCATATAAAAATGACTCAATATTTCATATAGAATTCATAATACAAAAAGATGTTCTCATGGATTAGGTAGTTTCTTCTGTAATTTTCTTTTATGAACATTGTCTATTTTTTAATTATGTTCCCATTATTGAAAGTAAGTGAACTTAACACCATAATTCTGGGATTTTCTGGCAATGGCAAATTATGTATCCTAAGTCATTACTTAACTTGCCAATCACAACGATTTGGAAGTTCACAATAATTAAGGAAACTTCTCTGGACATAATTCCTCAATCTTTAATTGATTTAATCAAAAGGAACAACATTTTTTAAATCTAATCATAGCATTTAAATCTAATTTCATAGTCATCTCACCCAATTTTATTTTAAAGTAATCTGTGCATCGCTTTTTATTAATCTAGAGTTCTAAATATCTTTTTAACTTCAGAAAATAATGTGAATTTATTTATACTTTGAAGTAATTGCTAAGTCCCACTCTCTTTAATTTCTAAAAACCATATATTCCAATGTAGATAATTTAAAGAGGAAGCTGGATATAAAGTAGATGTATTTATTAAAGTTTGTAATCTCAGTCTTTCTTAATATAGCATTCTTACTAATTTGGATCAT